TTAATAGGTAATTACATTCCGTTTCAACGCTTAAAATTATGACAGAATGCAATCTTACTTTGAATTTGTAAGAAATCGCGTTACATACTACGATCGGCGAACTTCTTTTAATGTGTTCACTTGTTTTTATCGCTCAGGTGGTGGATCCACAAACCACTCACTTTAAACAATCCTTTTGTCTACGGTGGTTGATTTCTGCAGTCTTCTTCTGCAAACACAGGGAATGTGTGCGACGACTTGCGTGTGTGAGGCTAATTTCTTTGCGTTACGAAAAATGACTTACGCCCGATATACACGGTACAATTTCCGTGCAGATTCTCATACAGTTTGTGTACAGAAACTTCAAGATCCCAAACTGGAAGTATAAAAGCGAAAGTCGCGCATACACGGTCTGTACGTTTTCTGTATGAAACGCCATACTAACGGGTCTACTGGGTAACAACAGAATTGCGCCGTCCGAGTACTTTCACTGGCGGCATTTCTGTACGCGCGTTAGGCTGTGTGATCCTTATTACGTATTAATTAACCATGAAAGGCATAGGGGAAAATAAGAATAGGGAAGGAGATAGACAATCACAATTTCACGTCACATAAACGTACCTTGACACAACTAAGCAAAAAATCGAAATGGCCGATTACAATGTCGTCGGGTTAGAGAACTATTCTGCCACTAGAGGCGCTTAAATCAAACTATAAGCTTCCTGCGTGAAAAAATGCTCAAAATGATTCATGCAGAAATTGTACAGCCTGAATTGCATGAGAATCTACATGAAAAACTGTACCTTGTATACCGCGGTTTATAGTTCATTATACAATATTTCTCTTGTGTGCAAATCGTGAATTATGGTTACCAGAAGACGATAGGTACCGAAATTGCACAAAATTAAAGCCGAAAATTGCCGGCGGCTCTATAGATTACCAAGAAATGTGATACAGTGACTTATTTTGTCGTAATATTTTCATTTATATGTAGTTTGTTTATTTTTTTTTACTTTTTCGGTCTAACAAATGTAAGAAGGTAAAGTATTGTATATGTGCGCCGGAAAATTGCAAATTATCGACAGAAAAATTCTTATTGTCGGACCCTAGTAACGAAAAAGAGGATCAATTATATTACTATACGTGGTAAATTACTTCTTCTATCATGTGGTATAGCCAGAATCCATGATTTGTGGATCCTTGATTTCTTCAGATAGCGTAAATGACACTTAAGAAAATGTAGCGAGTCGCATGTCCGTTTGGTCTAATTTCACGCAAATTGCAAAAGAGCAATTTTGGGGGGGGGGCGTCTTTTTACAACTACATTGATGAGAGTGATTATTTTCTTTATTGAACTCTATTCTTTAAAGATTACTAGATTTTATTCTTAATATCAGGTCGTACTCAATTTTTCGAAAATATAAGTACAGTTTTCGTGTGATTTTGTGCAAAATCACGGCAATGTTACATTTTTTAACAATTTTTTTCTCACAAATAGCGCCAAACTTTTTCTTTAAATTGTATCTATCTATGTATCATGGTACGGTAAAAAATATAATGCTAGTCCCATTTTCGACAGTCTTTGTAGTTTCGAAAATTGCAAAAAGTTTACATTTTAAAACTACAAAATTGAATATGGAGATTTTTGCCATAAACCAAAATCTGTTTTCAATTATCAGCTTTTTAAAAAAGATCAAATATAACTTTTTAAAGAAACTAGTATTTTCACGTAATTTCTATTTGAAATTAACGCAAATTATAAAAATATGTTTTTTTCAAAAACAGGTCTTATATTTTTTTTTACATTTTTCCATTTATTAAACAAAATACACTTAAAACAATGGTGTAGGTATCATTTTTGTTGATCTCTGAATTTTCAAAAATGTGTTGGAAATATTAGGTTAAGACAACAACATTTTGAAGCTTCAGCCCGAGTTAGACACTCGACGTTTCTAAAGCATAGAGGGAAGACTCGGCGAGTTATCACGGTGAACCTGAGCTCGGGTCTGAATGCGGAAAATTTTTTTGATCTTTGAAAATCCTTTTGCTAGTTTATGTTGTAGTATAATATAGCGAAGATGTTAGGTATACACCGAGAACGCATGTGCTGTGTATATCGCTTTGTAGAAATATGAGTAAAATGTTTCAGTTGAAAGAAGAAAAAGTTAAATGTTCATTATACAGTAAGAAATGACACCTAACCCAAATAAATGTATTTTAAGAGATATTATGCAAATCTCAATTCTTTCAGAAACTTTCATGGATGCGATCGTTGGTGAGGCTCCAAGTGGTGACCGCTGTTTTAGGTATTATTTAGTGTATTTATGTCATGATAGTGGCCATTTTTACATGAGTTGGTACTGTGCAGTCAAAAGTGAATACAAATGATAAATGTTAAATGTAAATAGGTTCGGTGCAAGTTGCAAATCAGTGGTGAATCCAATAATGACAGTATTATTGCAGAGTAGTGAGTATAAAGGAATTGTTTTATAACGGTAAATGGAAAAAGTTGAATATTCAAAGTTTTCAGTTTGAATTATCATTAAGTGAGGTTGTTAGTTGATAACGAGCCTTGAAGAAAATATAAAATGTAATTTGATAGGTAATGCCCTCACGAAACCGTCCATTGGTTTCTTAATGTGGTAAAATCGTGCAAATTTGCAAGTTCTGCGACATTCCATTACATTGAAAAAATATTTTTATTCAATGATTTGTGGGTATTTAATGAGTTTGAAAATGTTGATTAGGAAAAGTAGTTCAGAATAAAGAAAACATTTTAAAAGAAATTTACAAATGTTGACTTACGAATCGCTCTGAAATATGCCCTACATAATTTAGTGCGCAATGCGCTCGCTCATTGTCGTTGAGTCCGAGCGTGGAGAATCATTGTTGGTGCTCTCTGGTAGCAAGAATTACAACTTTTAGTGCTAAACTGTTGTTTAGAGTTGACTCCAAAAATTAAATGAATGTTACCAACAATGATTTTCTAGTGCAACAGAGGAGAACAAAAATTATTGTCCTCTAATTCAATATTTTTATACAGTGGCATCCATTTATTATTAACGACAATCAAAATAACTCTTTTTAAAGATTCGTATGTTCATTATTTTGCATACAAACCTTGACGGTTTGCGATCCAATTGACCGCATCTTCAGGTGTACTGTAACATTTTTTTTAATAATGACGAATTTTTCTTGTATAAAATATAAAATTTACTATAACATTATAAAATTACAGAAATAAATAGAATTATTCAAAGAAAAATGAAGTATGATGCAACAAAAAGAAACTTATGGTATGAAAAGGTATGGTATTATGTTTTGTTGCATCATGATATAAAACTATCATACTACTTACTTAAAAAATAATTGTTTGATTATTTTTAATAATAGATGGATACCACTGTATAAAATGATTTTCTTGGTACACTAAATTTATGTTATGATTCCAATATTTACACTGTATTATTAGTATTAGTTTAGTACATATTAATTTAATGTCATAACTAGTTTACTTTCTACGTAACTTGTGTTACTTAAATAATTAATAAATTGTTTTTTTAAAAAAGGAAATAACAGTTTTTGTTTTGAGAGTAGTAGTAATTTTTGGTTTACCACAAAATGAGATTTAAATAACATCATTTAGAATGTGATCTAGTGCATTTTTCATGTTCAATGACAAATATTGCCGTTGTGGAATGATTCCTATGTTTATAATTATTTACATTGGATACCTTTTTTCACACAATTATCTCATGATTTAAAAGACAATCATTTTAATTTTTTTCATGAAGTAAGTTATTTTGTAATTTTGAAATTTAAGAGAATCAAAGGAAATCTTATTATATTAGCCTTAGATAAAACTATTTTATTCGTGACAAACTTCCGTATAATTCACTTAGGTAATTGACGTTGGCTTTAATAGTGGTAATACAAAATCGCAATACAAATCATGCAAGAATGGATGTCACTTAAGAAAATTATTTTAATCTTATTCTGATCTTTTTATCACAAGTTTCCATTTTCATGTTGGAAAGATCCAAATAGAGAAAAAAACTGATTTTGAATTGCCTTTGTCAATACATTGAAATAACTTCGAAATGTGATGGTCTCATATTGGCACCTACACTACTTCTTTACTCTACTTCAAGCATTAACCTTGTGACCGAACATAATGCAAGCAACAATAATCGAGAAGGCACTTATTTCTTATATTTGTTACATTTTTGACGTGTTAATAAAACTATATTTTTAAACATATCCATATTGTGACAATTTTTAAGTGGTGAAAATTTATTACTGTTAGTAATATCAATAATACATTTCCATGAAATGAATTGAAGTAGGCGGAATTCGTGTTAGGAATAAGTATTTTATTTCATTAACATTACAGTATTCTTCCTAAGAACATATTTATTGGTAATAATAAATGATTTTAATGTTTATATCATTGAAGTAATGAAACTACTTCATGATATTCAATCAATAAGAACTGTTTATAACATAATTCAAAGGTTTTCTTCAATAAAATCCATTCAATGTGTCCAATTCAATAAACCCTTCCTGTGTGATTTGTAATAAAAATATAAAATGACAGTGATATAAAAAGCGAAGTATGATGATGTTAAAATATAAATTTTCAATTCATGTAATTAAAAATTATTAATATATATTAAAAATGCAGACCCAGAATAAGTACAACGAATTTTAAAATACCACTTAAGATAAATTTCAATTTTTTCTGTTACTTTCACGCTATTGGCTGATAGAAGAGCGAATAGAATTCAAAACAGAAACAGTTGCCGCTACCGGAAGCTGGACAAATAAGACTTCTCTTTCTAACACTGCCGTTTCTTGTTTAAACTCTTTGAACTCAAACTGGAACATTGAGGTGTCAGTTACAGTGCGTAGTGCATAGTGAGTCAGTTATATTGTGATTTTTTCGCACGGTTTCCGGTTTTCACATCTCAATTTGGAACAGTGATACATTTTTTCCATTACGACTGTGCTATTTCAACAACATGCTTTTCTCCGGGACCGCAGATTTTCGACATTATCTGGGCCATTCTATCGGCTCCACCATCGCTCCCATCGAGTGCGGGCTCGTCCTCGGTCCTCGGTTCCACAGAGTCTGTCCGCCATTTTGTCTCTCTACTTCGGCCTCGCCACCGGCGGGCCTTATAGTATGGGATAAATGTGTGTCCTTGCATCCAGCCATGGCTCATTTATCCACGTACACAACGTACGCTCTGGTCATAATGCGCTATATCGAGAAACGGAGACGCTACTGCGCATGAGTGTCCGATCTCTCGATCAACGCTGGAATCGATAGTGAAACATACGAGTTGTCACAATCAAGACCATCTGCAATACTCAGAATTTGATGTACAGATATGGAAATGATGTGGAAATATGATATTCTTGACATGATGCAATAGTGGAATTCGGGTGTCTTCTCTTACGAACTATCGCAATGAGAACACGAGCTAAGAGAGTGTTGGAATGGGGGCAGAAAAGTAACTGCACTCATTTTATTGTTCAAAAAGAGGTAAGAGTCCATTCCAGAAGTGAAGTATATAATTCTTAAAGAAATTATCATGATTTGTAATGAGAATTAGACGTATATAGAAGTATCTTAGAAAACAACGTGAGTTCTGTGTACGGGACACGAAGGTCACGTGATGGAGGCGATTGTAACATTCTGAATAACTGTTAAAATCGTGTCCATTTACATAATGTTAGTGTATTTTTTACTTATTGGATTGAGGACTATATACAATTAATCTTGATTTCAGAATAAGAATTCTGACCACTATTGTACCGGAAAAGGAATCTTTCATCTCGCCAGATGACTGCCTTGAGAATCCTTCTCCTCGCAGCCAATGGTACATCCACGTGAATCGGGTGTTTCTTGGCGTGGGAAGTCCCAGCGCATCTACATGAAAACCATTTTGTTTCTCATTGCAGAACAAAAGCCAAAACAGACGGATAAAACGGTGTGTGATTCTCGCGAGGGAAAACTGTCGTTTGCTGTCTAGAAACGAAGCAAGACGTGGCCGTGAATATCATCCATTGAACAGAGACAAATTGACTCAGTCATACCAATCATTGACTGGAAGAGGAGACAGAATCTGTGCACTAACTGATTCTGACAAATACAATCGTCTATTCTAAAATCTCAATATGAGAAACAAAAAGCATATTGTTAGTCTCGATACTTTAGAAAAAACAGTTCTTTATTGTCAAGTGATTTACTAGTTATCATTTAAAGAGATTTTTAAAAAGAAAATGTATGTAAAACGTTGAAGCCAGTATCTTTTATTCGAACTTGTAGCAGTGCCTTCAAGTATTGTATTTATTTGTGTTCTTGATCCATTGTTGGAGTATTGATGATTGTATTAATTTTGAATTATTATTATTATTATTATTATTATTATTATTATTATTATTATTATTATTAGAATATTCTCGTATTTATCGTAGACAATCATAATCACTGGGGAATCATAATCTGTGACTCATCTATCTTAGGAGACGCACATCGATTGCTATGTCGTTGTCCAATAAACAGCGTATGTACTACAGCATAAACTGTGATTTTAACGTACTATTTCAGTTATTTTCATTATTTGGCTCGCTTTGGAATTGAGTTTGACATAATTTCACCCGTGGAATAGTCCTATTAAATACCACTCGTGCCTTGGCAATTCTCAGATAAATCCCCTCCTCGCTACGCAAGTCGGGAATTTATCGACAGTTTCCAAAGCATACGTGGTATTACCTATGATAATATGCATTGGTTAAATACTTATTTCCCGAGCGTGTCACACGAAACAGGAGGTGGGGCATAATCGCATATTCAGAAGATGCAGATATTTGATCGCTTTGTGAGTGGTACTGGATTCTAGCCAGGTATAGCAAGAAAGTAAAGAGTTTACCAAACAACTGTTTGCAAAGCTATAATATTTGTCATGAATAAAATTCTAGAGAAACATCATGGATTTCTAATGCTCATAACACATGCTTGAGAGAAGTGGGCAGAATGATATTGCTCTACATTTGCAATTGGTGTTATAGATCACATTGACTTCCCTAGAAAGAAACCATATCATGAAGATGAATACAAAGAAACAAATTTGCAAGCATAAACAATCAAGCCACTTGCAATGCAACTGAAAGGTTCACTAGTGTAGATTCTCAGTGGCCTGAATCTGTGTTTGGTAGCCTAATTAACAAACAACCTAATGTTTAATAACTAATGAACAAACACGATTGGCTCGTAGTTTTACTTGGAAACATCTTATGTGGTAGAGCGTCATGGTTGCTTGCATAGAACCAAAAAACTTCAATACCTGAGGGAATCACGTACATTCACCAGGGCGCTCAGAAGGAGAGAGGGCATCTAGAGCAACTTGCGCCAGGCCCCGATTTTTTATGACGTGTACGAGTATGGCGACAACCTCATAAATCCACGAGCCCTGCCCTTCAACAGGGGACCATTCAAGCTGGTGGAAACTGTGTGATGATATGGGGCATGTGCAGTTGGAGGGATATGGGACCCCAGAAACGTCTAGATACGACTATGATAGGTGACACGTACGTAATCGTCATGTCTCATCACTTGCACCCATTCTTGTCCATTGTAGATCCCGACGGCCTTAGGCAATTCCAGCAGGACATTGCGACAGCCCACACGCCCAGAATTACTACACAGTGGCTCGAGGAACACTTTTGAATTTAAGCACTTCCACTGGCCACCAAAATCCCCCAGTCATGAACATTATTGAGCATATCTGGGATGCCTTGCAACGGGCTGTCCAGATGAGATCACCACCCCTTCATACTTTTGCGAGTTTATAGACAGCCCTGCAGGATTAATGGTGTCAATTAACTCCAGTACTACTTCACACATTAGTCGTGTCCATGCCACGTCGTGGTGCGGCCCTTCTGCGTGTTTCGCGGGGGCCCTACACGATATTAGGCAGGTGTACCCGTTTTTTTGTTCTTCAGTGTATCTGTGCCTTGGTGCAAGAAGGTTCAATGTTACATTTGCGTGATTTTTGGCTTATAGGGCCAATGCGTGTTCCAAAAACATTTATTTCAGTGCAAGAAAGGCCAAAGTAAAAAGTATCTCCTAATTTCAGATTGATATGCATTGGCCTATGATTGTCTTGTCATTTTGATTTGGTAAAAAAGACACACATTCTGAAAAACTTTGAATATTCACATTTTCCTTCAACATATTAAAAGTGTTTATGAAAAGCGATGTGTCACACCCACCTATCCGTTACATGTCATAGTCGCCCGTAAAACTGTCAGCTGTTTTTTCAGGTTTGTTGTTTAAAAATCCCACTTCAATGGATTGTCACTGAAACTAACTGTAGTACCACCGTTGTGTAGCCAATATGTTTGGTTGGTTAGCATGATCCCTTGTACTTTCTTTGTTTTCTGTTTGCTTACATAGTACTTCCACGTGAGTTTTTGTGTGCGAGTGATGTAGTGTTTACTGGTTGTTTCTTTTTCGAGAATTACTCATTCAACCGAGAAGGTATTTAAAAACGACGTGTTAAGTGGCACAAGAAATGGCGACACTATTTGCAATATAGCAATTTGTAGTCAAGGACGAAGGTTTCAAAACATAATCACTGAAGCTACCCCTAGTGATTAACTTGTTACTTTTACGCCTAAAAGAGCCTCTAACAAGAAACCTGATGGAATTGAAGATAAGTACTAGATAAAGATAGAGAGAATTTTGAAATTGTAAAAATGAACATTTTCACTAAAGCATTGCAACAATGGGTGACCTGCAAGCATTGTTGTGATGGAAAAATATCAATTGAAATTAGTTTGCGTGTAGACGTTGCAGCTGAAATGAATTTATTTTTTATTAACTGCAAATATAGTTATACTTATATTGGCAGTTGTAAGTTTTTAGTGTAAATGATAATGTAGGTGCACCGATACATATCTGTACAGTGTTAATATTAGATTAGTGTAAAGCCTACTATCAAAAGGTAGAGGAAAAACAGTTTGTGATATGTTTTGTGAGATGATAAGTCTTCCTCGCCTCCCATAAAATTGTAATAATTATGATTATACCATTAGATCTGTAGTAGAGGATAGAGCCCAGAAATCAATGAAAGATACTGTGGAAAAAGCAGTGATTGAAAATATTGGCATTCGTGACATTACTACAGCAATAGATGGAACATTTTCACCCATCAAATGATGTGTGACTTATTAGTGTAGACACAGGAAAAGTTATAGATGTGTCAGTGATGTCCAAATATTGGAGATGTGTAGGTGGATTAAAAAATTAACACAGGGACTGAATTACAAATTATTATCGGTCTAATGGCTAAATGGAAGTGGCTCGTGTTACACAAATTTTTTATGGTTCTATTTTGAGATATAACGTACGCTGTTTGAGGGGGGAACTCTCAGACGGGAAGCCATTGGATGAGAAAGGCAGGCTGACTGACTGTATGACAATGTGTCATACGTTGGTATAGGATATAACACTACTATGGTCTAGCAATCAGGCAAAACCTGCTTCTTGGGATGAAAACCCTCAGCATGGATTATGACCCCAAAGTAAAAACAGTTGACGTATGTTTAACCGTGCAAAGTTTACAAACGAAATTTACAAACATCAGCACAGTTCGCCTTCAGCAATTATGGATGAAATAAAACCATTTTTAGAGATATGGCAGATGAAAATATATTGAAAAAGGTTTGCACGGAAGAACTCAAAATTCGAATGTGTGAAGAGCATTATTTTGAATACGCTTCCCAAAACTGTATTTGTGGGTATGATTTGGTGAAGGAAAAATAAATCAATCATGTTCTTTAGCATTTGGGACTGCATATTGGGTCACCGACTGAACAGGTCATGTTACACTGAGGTAAAAAAGACTGATGTTTGATAGAAAAGACTTGTTTAATAGAAATTTGGTTTAAAAGACTTGTTTGAGAGAAAATATTAGGCAACATTAAGCAACGGTCGTTCACGGTATTTTCAGCGCACTTTGTACTTACTAGCTTCCCCACTACAACTTGCGTATGTTCTTTTCTGGATAGGGAGAGGAAATAAACGAGGAGTCAGGGAAACAGAACCTGTGGTCGCAGAAGCGTCGGGCTTCTGGGACGAGCAAGTAGCTTAGGCGGGCGCAGTGTGACATGCCTGGAGAACAATCACACGTGTTGCCATGTAAAATTTTGTTTGCCAAGTCAAGGCAATGGTTATTCGTCGGACAAACATTGATAGAAGCAAGTCTTCCCTCTGATTTCTTTTCGTGCAAGTGCGAGATCCTTGCAGTGCACGGTCTCATCTTTCTCTAAGTGGGTCTTCAATTTTTATTTGTTGCTTGTAACCTGATGGCAAGGGGGTCGATTGTGTAATTTTGATTACTCTCAGACATTATCCTTACCGTCAAATATCCTAAAAACAAATAAAATATTGAAACATGTGTTCGAAGCATCTCAGAAAATGTTTTTTTACGCGTGCATTAAGACCATCGAGTTATTTTTATTTTGAAGTACGTTTCCTCGTTACCCTAATCGAAGCCTCTGAATGTTTGTTTCCACGAGCACTCTACAGTAGCCGGTGTTCCCGTGGTGAGTCCTCTTCGCGCCAGTCGCGTGCTTAAGCCTCACGGCGCTGCCGGAGGTGGGCGGGGCCACCCGCATGACAGAGGCAGTAGGGCGCCGGTGCCGGGCAGGGGTGACGGTTGCACTGGGCGCGTCACGGGGCCTCGTCTCTCCACGCCACGCCGCCTCAGCCACACTCCGCCAACCCGCCCCGACCAACCCCACCTCCCCGCACTTGCTAGCTCTTCCTTGTTAATTTCATCCTCCCCCCATTTCCCGCTCTCCCCGTCATTCCATGCCTTTGTCCGTCCTTTCCTGTCCTTCCTCGATCTTCTCGCCCTCCACCGCCCTTTCCGCCCATTCTCTGCCCTTCCCCTTCCCCCTTCTCCTCTATTT